CAAAATCTTCCATTATCAGGAGTGGCTCTTCTTCCCAGGTCATTCCAGTTTTCTAACATGAGAACAGGGCTTCTGTGACCTTAATACGCTGCACAAATTAGTTTTTTTCCTGTCTCGTTTTCTTTACTAGAGAGCACTTTAAAGCCTTTTAACTATCACACTTTGAGGGGAAAGGTTCCTTAATTCCCCTCATCAGGAGGAGGCTAGTCTAAAGAATTTTTATCTCAGAAGAGCCACCTCAGGAATACAAGACACAAGCGAAGGACCCATAATGATATGTGGGTGGTCTCATCATTGCCCATCTCCTTTTCCTGCTTCCTTCTCCACCCACCAGACAACCTACCTTTTATTTGCCCCCTCAACTTCTGTTATACTTTGTATACACCCCCATATTTCTCCCCAGTGGAGAACCAAAGCAGATTACATTGGTCTCATCTTCCATTTTATGCTCATCGTAACAACCCTGTGAGCTAGGTTAGGCTGATTGTGTGACTGGCACAAAATCACCCAGTGAGCTTCCACGGCAGATTTCTGTGGGGTGAACAGCAGCAAGCAGCTGGGCCTAGGTGAATCATGCAAGTCATGTGGTAGCAAATCACCAGTGGTCGCTGTTGGTCCTGGCCCTGATGAGGTTTCCTTTCAAAAGCCAAAATAGTCCTGGAAAGGGCACTACCACCCAAAACAACCACCCACCCTTTTTACTTATAGAAACCAGGGATTGAAGGCTGGCAATAGTATCAAGGTTGCCTAGCAACAGCCACTGAGGGCATTAAGTTTCTTAAAGCTACAGGTACCGCTTGTCTCATTTTGGGGAGTTAATCCCCCAATATGTGTGTGTGTGTGTGTGTGTGTGTAAGATTTATAGAATCACAGACTTGGAAGGGACCTCCAGAGTCATCTAGTCCAACCCGCTGCCCAATGTAGGAAATTCACAAATACCTCTTCCCACAACCCCCCAGCGACCACTGTTCCAAGGCCAGAAGATGAAAAAAAAACCCTCCAGGATCTCCAATCCCCAGCACAGCATTTGCCTTTTTAAAATTGCAGTTGCACACTGAGAATTACTTTGCACTTGCCCACACTGAACCTCATTTGCCACATTGACGCCCACTCACCCAGCCTCGACAGGATTCCTCTGGAGGGCCCCAAAAGGATCTAGCTAACTGACCCAGGCCTGTCTGAACAATGAGTAGGAAACTGAATCTATAAGACAGTGGATCTGAAATAGCCCAGTAGCTCAGGTGTTACATTTCTCTCTTACTCTCTTCCACATCACAAAGGCAGCAAGCATAATGAGTACAGCGAGAGCTGCTAGAGGAAAAAAAACACAACAGGAGACTTCCAAACAACGGTCATCTCTCACTTCACCCCAAGGGTCATTTTGTAGACAAAGAGGTGCAGGAGCTCATTAGCATAACTCATTAGCATAACTTATTTGCATATGCCACACCCCCTGACATCACCGGAAGTGTGTCAGAAGGCAACACCCACTGCCCAGGCTCCACTGGACTGTTTTGGATTGCTAGTTTACAAACTCCCTTCCCCTCCCCACAACAGACACCCTGTGAGGTAGGTGGGGGTTGAGAGAGTGCTCTTTCGAGGACTGCTCTTGAGAGAACAGCTCTGAAAGAACTTATGACTGACCCAAGGTCACACCAGTAGCTGCATGTGGAAGAGTGGGGAATCAAACCAGGTTCTCCCAGACTACAGTCTGCGCTCCTAACCACTACACCAAACTGGCTCTCAGCCAAGGGGTGGGTAGGTACTTGTTGCAGATTAATTTACAAGGAGGGCAAGGCTGTCACCTGGGGTCCTGAGATGCTCAGGAGAAAGGCAGGCATATACATATTTTAAGTAAATAAATAGGTCTCGTTGGGAGGCATCAAAAGCACAGGTTTCCACACACAAACTCAAAGCAATATCCTTCCCAAATATGAACAGATACACCTGACTGGAGATACATAACATTTCTGTTGTATACTGTACCTGGGCTCTTCTGTTTGCAAATCTGAGTGGTGAGGTCTTCAACATATTCTGGGAAACTTTCAAAACTGTCCCCATAGGATACTACTTTGATGCCATGCAGCAGCATATCCGCCTGAAGTTTAAAAAACTGGTCTTCGTTTTCTTTGAGCACCAACATGTAGTGTTCTAAATCCACTTTGTTTTTGACGGTGTAGAGGAAGAGAGCTTGAAATATCTGATCGCACAGGGTCTCTCCACAGCCCAGAAATAAAAATGATTTTGTGCGGTACAAGTTCTGTAAAACTTCCTGTCAAGAATAAAGCAGTTCACAAACATTTGTCTTAACTCTACAGGATACAGCTTGGAGAAACGACAACTGAGTGGTGACATGATTGAGGTTTATAAGATTATGCATGGGTTAGAGCAGGTAGAGAAAGAGGTACTTTTCTCCCTTTCTCACAATACAAGAACTCGTGGGCATGAAATTGCTGAGCGGTCGGGTTAGAACAGATAAAAGGAAGTACTTCTTCACCTAAAGAGTGATTAACACATGAAATTCAGTGCCACAGGAAGTGGTGGCGGCTACAAGCATGGACGGCTTCAAAAGGGAATTAGATAAGCATATGGAGCAGAGGTCCATCAGTGGCTATTAGCCACAAGGTATGGATAGGGGCTCTGGGGCAAGTGATGCTCTGTCTTCTTCGTGCTTTGGGGGGTCAACAGTGGGAGGGCTTCTAATGTCCTGGCCCCACTGGTGGACCTCGTGAGGGCACCTGGTATTTTTGGCCACTGTGTGACAGAGTGTTGGACTGGATGGGCCTTTGGCCTGATCCAACATTGGCGTCTCTTATGTTCTTATGGTATACAGACAAGTCAAAGTTCAGAGGACAGAGGCACTGTCAAGGGATCTAAATGCAGCTCGGGTTTGTCAACAGCCAGGCGCTCGGTTACCACAGAAACTCAAAATTGCCTCCAGGTAAATAAGAGAACAAATGTAAAGAAAACAGTTGTGAGAGTCTGCCCCACAAATCAAGCAGTCAACAAGACTTGCAAAGAAAATGCTTTCTGTACATTGAGGTCAACACAATAAACAAATTCCTTCAAATCATACACTAGGATTTTCTTATGATTTGAAGGAATGTGTTTATTGTGTTGTAGTGCTTGTTGACCTCAATATACAGAAAGCATTTTCTTTGCAAGTCTTGTTGACTGCTTGATTTGTGGGGCAGACTCTCACAACTGTTTTCTTTACATTTGTTCTCTGATCAGGTCGTGATTGTCCACATTTGTCTTGCTCCAGGTAAATAAATGGGACAGCGGGGGGCGGGGGGGGGGCGGAGGCGTCTTGCTGTTACCGCATTACAAAGAACAGACATGAGTACTCCCTGGAGGGAAGGATGGGATGGGACTGGATCCAGCTCAGTTCTTCCCTCACTCTTGCCAGCATCGCACAGGGGTTTTGTCCATGTAGATTCCATAATGCCCCTGCCCTGGACAACCTTTTGGGTGGTCAGTAGGGATCCCTCCTTCCTTTCCATCTGCAGAAAAAGCCGGTTGGATCCAACCCATGCAAAAGAAATAGCATGTGTATGTTGCCCAGCACAGACCAAGATCAGCATCAAGGGCTGAAGGTCGTGGAAGGTTTCCTACTGTTTCCACAAAATCTTACCCAAAAGGTAAGAAGCCACAGTCGAAGAGCTGCTGCCTACGCCAGGGTTTGCTCACAGGGTGCCTAAATGAATGCCATGGTGCCCACAAGCACCACATGAATATATGAATCTGCCTTACAGAATCAGACCCGTAGTTCCTTGAGGTCAGTATTGCCTACTCAGTATGGCAGCGGCTCTCCAAGGTCTCAGGCAGTGGTCTTTCTCATTGCCTATTGCCTGGTCCTTTTAACTGGAGGTGCCGGGGATTGAACTGGGACCTTCTGCACGCCAAGCAGATGCTCTACCACTGAGCCACGGCCCTTCCTGATCACTGCTCCTGGCCCCATTGAGCTGACTGGTAAGTACTTGGGCTTTCCTTAGTCAATGTGTGGCTTTTCTTCTTTTTATTCCCCCTTCCTTGCCCCCAGCCTGCCTGCCTGCTTCCTTCCTCCCTCCCCCCTCCCTCCAGCTTTCCTTTTTTTCCTTTTATCCCCCTTCTGTAATTCTTCTGCAATGCAAGGAGGGAGATAACTGGGTTTGGCCCCACCTCCTCCGGCAGCCACCTTTGGGATGTGGAACGACATTTAAGTGGACACCTGACATCTGGCCCATCCTCCATCCCATTCCTTTACGCTTTTGAGGCACATGGCTCGAAACAACAATATTTTTGGCTGGGGCTCAAAAGGTGCATTTACCATGACTTCGGGATCTTGAGTAACATCTTTATATCCTGAAGGATCCAATACCATTCCACAAGGATCGGTGTACAAGCCATGAATGTGAAGAACGCCATACCTGATGTGACCTTTCGCCCACTGGAGAACCTACAGAAAACCAGAGAGTTAATTGCTGCTGACCGTTCCAGAAGAAGGCCAGGCACCCAAAAAAGGGCCTGCCTTTTAATCATGCCGTCACTCACCCTGGTCATTTAATTTTTTTTTTTTAAAAAAACCATCTTGGCACCATGATGTAACTACGTCTAAATGACAGGCTACAAAATGCCAACCGTTAAAGAATCTCGAACCAAACAAACGCACAATCAAATAAAAATATTTTACACATATTCTCACCCTTAAAAAAACAAAACAAAACAAAGCGAAGCCTCCAACAATGTTCCAGAAAACAATGGGGTAAAAATCTTGTCAATTGGCTGAGGAAATCTCCCTAGAAACTCATTCCCAAATAATGATGTCATGCTTGTGCTCAACGGCGCCTCGGGGGCAGGGTTCCTCTTTTCGCCCAGCTTCATCGTCAGCTCTCCCGAGCCTTTATCTACCTTCCTTTATACACAGCTCAGTGACCTGACCTGGACAGCCCAGGCTAGCCAAGCAGCGTCGGCCCTGACTAGCATTTGGCTGGGAGGCCACTAAGGAACACTAAGGAACCCGGGTCCTGACACAGAGGCAGGCAATGGCAAGCCACCTCTGAACGCCTCTTCCCTTGAAAACCCCATGAGGGTAGCCATAAGTCAGCGGTGACTCCACAGCAGTCACAACAGACCTAGCTCAAGGGCATTGTCCCTTTAATTGTGTCCGCAGTCCCTTCCTTGGGTCTGGAGCCTCACCTAGAGAGCAGCTCTGCCTAGGCCTCTTTGTCTCTTGGCCCAAAGCCTTCTCCTTTCCAGAAAGCGGTCTCCCTCAGGCAAGCTGCCCGTAAGTATGTTTACCTTCGGCAGCTTCCTTTCTTTGCAGCCCTATCCTCACTGGACCTGCCTTTTCATCAGGTCCCAGACTGATAAATCGAGCTGGCCCAGCAGCAGCGCAGGGCCCGTGTGCGGTTCTCCTTTCTCACACAAAATCTCAGTACAAAAATCCTGATCCTTTACGCTTGACCAGTTCAATGGGCCCTGTAACCTTCGTTTCCATTGCAAATACCTCCGTTCCCTCAAGTTGCTGTCGGTTTAAGTACTGTGTCGTCACTGCCTCCACTGCTGCAAGAGCTAAGCTTAGGGCTGATTCACACATTACAAAGTCCACGTGACAGACATGAGGCCACCACAAGCACTTTGAGTCAGACATGCGGCTGGAGCTGCATGCTGGGAGCTCGGTTTCCAGGTGCGCGGGGGCCTTGATTCAGATTGGGACCACAGCACCTGAGGAGAAGAGGCATTCTACCAGGTCTCTGAAATTTATTGGGGTGATTCTGGACTCTACTACTGGGAGAGAGTTCCTCCCTCCAGAACGAACTGTTCTTATGGACATGACACATCCGTTACAACCAGTGAGACACATTTAGGACCTCCTCGGCTGCCATTACAGTGGTACACTTCAGTGACTGTCTTCAGTTATGGCTCTTCTACCATTTCCACCCACAGACAGACTCTCAAGACTGACTTTTGTTGAGGCCATCACCTCTATCTCTGATGGACAAGGTGGTTCTGAGACCACCTTCCTGCCAAAGGCATTATCCAGATTCCACCTCAACCAGGCTCCTGTCCTTCCCTCTTTTCTTCTCAACTCCAACTGTGTGCCTCGGGAGAGTTCTCTCCTATCTTGACAGAACTGCAGCCTTCAGGCGACAAGTCAACTTGTTCCTCTGCTACCCTGACTCAAGGAAGAGAACGAGTCTCATCTCAAAGGTTCGGCTGCTGCATTATACAAACTGTCAAGCTGTGCTATGAGCTGGCTCATCTAACCCCTTTTCGCTGAAAAATCCAGAGCTCATTCCACCAGAGCTGTGGCTATCTCTTCAGCTTTCAGCAGAGGAATTCTGCTCCTTTATCAAACACTGCATCCTTGACATGTGGGCTGGAGTTGATACATGTGGGCAAGCTGTGCCCCATTCTCTCTACAAATGACGCACCTCCAGGTAGGTCAGCTAGTCTATACCCATCAGCAGGATGCAGAGACCATGAAGAAGTTAAGGCAGGTTCCTTACTTGTAACAGTTCTTCTTAGTGCGGACAAGTATATATTCAACTGACCCACCCACCTTCCCTGCAATTAGCTGAAGTGTGTTCCTACATCTTGCAGGAAGGCATGACTCCTTGCCCACATGTAGGTACAGCCTGAACTGCATCTCTAAGGGGAAGAGATTTTCGTGCCTGAAAGCTACCTCTAGACATTTCTAAATTGTAGCTTTGTGCAGGTGCAATGCCTATCAGTGTGAATGCACAGAAGACCACTGAAATGTCAGCGGTTCAGGTAAGCAACCTGCTTTTTTCCCCCAGTGGACAAAATAGTGGATTCCCAGGGCTGTTTCAGGTCAAGAAAATGGTATAGGAGGGAAGGCCTCTTCTCTTCACATGCCACAGTCATTATCTGAATGCCAGGGAACTCAGTTCCCAGATGGGAACTCCCAGAAGAAATCTACAGAAAATTGACCTGTAGGACATGTAGTCCTTAGCTAGCTGCTTTGGGACAATAAGGAATATTTGATTTTCTCATTCTGTAGTCCATGGGCAATTACTGGCTATATTTTTAAAAAAACCCACCAGGACATACCCACAGCACAAGATTTTGAGCACCTTGCTAGTATCAGCTGTCATTTCAGAGCCTTGGTGTTGAAAATGGACATACTTCTAAATTTTAAAATAAATTTTGGTTTGCAAGAACACAATACGGGCTGAGCAACAAAATACAGCCAATCACAAGAACAGCTGCCAGTAAAACTATGTTGCAATCACACACACTAAATAATCCACTTTCAGTGCACTTTCCAACTGGATTTTACTGTGTAAACTGGCAAAATCCAATTCAAAAGTGCAATGAAAGTGGTTTGAAAGTGGATTCTTTAGTGTGTGTGATTGCAGCCTAGTACAGGGGTGTCGAACTCATTTGTTATGAGGGCTGGATCTGACATAAATGAGACCTTGTTGGGCCAGGCCATGTCTGTCATAAAATGTAATGCCAGGTAGCGGAGATACAAACTTTATAAAGGACACAAACACAAAGGGTTTTCTTTACTTAAAATAAAAACATGCTTAAAACATTAGCACTTTTGCAATATTTTGTTTATTTAACAGTGTCTGATAACTGACATCTCTTGCTCTGAGTTATTGCATCAAAATGTCTGTGTTGTTGCAAATTTGAGTATGCTGTTCAGGTGTGTATCTGTAAGCTGCAAACCTACGATGACACAGTAGCAGCAGAACTGGAAGAAGCAGCAGAAGACAGCCAGTTCCACGGCGGGCCTGACAGAAGCCCTCCGGGGGCCTGATCCGGCCCCCGGGCCGCATATTTGACACCCCTGGACTAGTATATAATTGGTAAACAGAGACTGCAGGAAAAGAGCTTCCAGAAGCCCACTCTTGCTCTCCTCCTACCTTGTCCTTATCTTTCAAGTCGAGAGATTCCATTGGTTTGCCCTGCTGCTGACCAAAGATTTCAAGTAAGTTGTCATAGTTGGTGGTAAGCACCATGGTGCCTCTCTCCATCAGTCGGAGGATCGACTGCAAAACAACAGGATTCTGAATGTGTTGCTCCAAATTATCAAAAACCTCCATTAGGCAATCCTGGAAAAAATTGGGTTTGGCATCTCCTGTGCGCTGGGGGAGGAAAAAGATGAGCAACGTATGAGGGAAATAAGTTTGCTATACTGAGAGAGACAGCGATCTCCAACAGGACATTAGTCTGGAACTGGAAGAACCAGACGCATAATAATTGTGGTGTTGCGCCCTGGCCGGGAAAGCCCAGGCAGCCCCGATCTTATCAGATCTCGGAAGCTACGTTCTTGGAAAAACTAAGGGAATCTCAAATAGGGAGGTAATTCTGTACCCAGCATTTGTGAACAAGGAGCATAGCCCACCGGACACTTGCCTTGCAAGCTGAGAACCTAAGTGCAAGAGGCAGAATAAAAGAACTACAGGAAGCGTTCCCCTGTAACTCCCAGGTAGGGAGGGATTAATATTGCCTTTTGACCAACCAGAAACTACAACCCCTGTTGGAAACCCCTGCCCTACAGGTTTCATTCTGAATTGTGCTACAATGGTGGCGAAGCAAGAAGCTTGGGTTATCTGTCCTTGTGTGGTGCAAAAGCATTTGAACCCCTATCTGCAGGGATCGATGGATGGTAATTACTGAATGTGCTACAGGGATTCACCTTGTCGAGAATGTTGTTTTTGACTGTCTGTGTTCTTCTGTGGTGGGGGAGGCGTGGTGTATATTGTCATGTATGGATGTCATCCTGCTTTGTGATTGGTGAATGTTGGTGTAATGATTCCTTGTTTTAGAGCATGTGTGTCTTTAAATGTTTGGTTGGAGTGCAGTGATAGCAGAGTAGAATGATTGAGGGAGACAAGTGTGCTGTGACTGGTGGATGACAGAGTGTGGGAGGAGTTGTTGGGAGTGATATAAGTCAGTTATGGAAGTCAGTTAGAGACAGCAGTTGGAGTTTTGAGAGTGAGTCAGAGTCAGTGAGAGTTATTCAGTTAGTAAATCTGTCAGTGAGTGATGACAGAGTGCTGTGAGGAAACATAAAGTGTTCAGAATATATGCCTATTGAGAGATTCTTGTCAGAGAAGGATTTTGTGATCAAAAGACTGTGTAGGATACCCTGCTAGTTTATTTTTCCAGTTTCTCTTCCCCATAACAGTTACTATTAACCAGCAACTCATTTTTGTTCCAAAATTCAATAAATCAAATTTTGTTTAAACCAGAATTCATTTCAATCCTTCCTCAGGGCCACAGAGCCCTCTGAAAAGCCCAAACTCTAGGTCACTTTACTAACAGCTAATGAGAGATTTGGAATGTGTTTAAATTCCTGGTGGCAGCAGAAACTACCCTGTTTGTGAACACAAAATATAATTTAAAGTGAAAACCAGTCCTCCCCAAATAAGAGGACACCACAGTTGGCAATGTGACAGTGGACAATGTTGCTATGCTCTGTTCCTGGCGAGAACATCAGACAGCTCTGTTCACCTGGTAAGGAAGACTCTGGTAAATGCCTGCTAAATGGTTGTTTGTTGAGGTAGATTGCCACGGGGCATGGCTGGCGCAGGGACAATCCCAGGCAAGATGGCGATGGTGCTTCTAGAGAGCTCTGACCAGGAGGTACCCAGTCCTTGACTAACCTTTGGGTTAAACCATGTAACAGACAATAACATTATTGGATGGACCAATCTAAGCAGCTGCATCTTCATCAATAAATTGGGAATAACGTTTGTTAGGAATGTTCTTGTAGCATGTATGCTCACCGGTGACATCTTTCGGATTAGGTCATGGGCAACCACCAGTAAATCTCGGTCTTTGATCACTTTCTTGCGGAATTCAGCTACATCCCCCGGATGCAACACTTCTAGCTGGTCAGCTGCTTCGATAACGGCCTCAATACAACTCCGCCAGGAGCGAAGGGCTGGGATTCCAGGGGCTACCGCAGCACTCACTCCCGTTCCGATCATCAGCAGAAGGTCCCGAGGCTGCTTCCGTATAAGGCTTTTTAAAAATTTCCTACAACAAAAAAGTAGTAAAAAAATCAATAATTTCACCCTAGTTCACATTCCTGTATCTAGTCAGAGTAAACATAATAAAGTACCAGGTCTTAACTGGTAAGGCACCAAATTAAAAGAGCAGCAGCCAGCCTCACATTCTCATAGATTTCAAAGGGTTATTCCCACCTTGATTTTTGTTCACTTTTATTTGTCTTCCTGTGTGCGGAATCCATCTCTTCAGCCCCTGTAAAGCAATAAAAGAATTCAGTTGGGTTGAAGTTTCCTTGTTAATTTTTAAAAGACTTTATTTATTTATTAGGTTTTTACCCCGCCCTCCCGGACAAACACAGAATATGTAAAATGGAGCACCTGTGAGATTTCTCTAGAGTTCAAACCAAAGCAAAATGGAAAAGAAGCACAAAGTGGCTACATTATTAGGACTCAACACATCAGTTAAGGGTACTTGGAAGAGGTTGCTGAGAGATGAACACATGAAGCTGCCTTATACTGAATTGGACCCCTGGGCCATCAAAGTTAGTACTGTCCATTCAGACTCCAGGGTCTCAGGTGGAGAACTTTCATAACACTTCCTACCTGATCCTTTTAACTGGAGATGCTGGGGATTGACCTTGGAGATGCTGGGGATTGACCCTGGACCTTCTGCATGCCAAGCAGATGCTCTACCACTGACCAGCTGAGCACTGTTGAACCAGTAGCTGCCTTTTGGCACCCTCCTTTCTATCAGTTCCGTGGGAGCTGGTAGAGTTGAGGAACTCAGCAACTCCAGGCTTCGCTGGCTGCCATCTTAAATGGGTCAAGCAAATTCATTCTGTCTGTAGGACAAAAGCCTTGCTCTCCCTCCATCAGAACAACGGCAACCTAGAAGCCTACAGATGCCCACTATCCTACTGACACCTAACAGGAAGTGTATGCGTAGGGATGAGTAGGAATGATTAAAGAATCGTAAAATGGGGGTAGAACTGACAGGTGAAGTCATGACTGTTTGTTTAAAAATATTTTAAATTATTTTTGAAATTAAAAAAAGAAAGTCAGCCACAATTAGGGCTGCCAAGCCGCGGCGGGGGATCTGTGCGTCGTCACAGGATCCCTGCTGCGGGGGACAGCAATATGCACTGCACCGGCGTCGCCAGCATGTGACGCTACGCTTCGCTCTGGCAACGGGCCATTGCCAGAGCGAAGCGTAGCGTCACATGCTGGCGACGCCGGTGCAGTGCATATTGCTGTCCCCCGCAGCAGGGATCCTGTGACGACGCACAGATCCCCCGCCGCGGCTTGGCAGCCCTAGCCACAATGCATGGATTCAGGCGGGGTAGCCGTGCTGGTCTGAAGCAACAGAACCAAGCTTGAGCTTAGGGGCCCCTTTGAGACCAACAAAGTTTTATTCTGGGTATCAGCTGTCATGTGCAGGCACGCTTCTTCATGTATGACGTGTGCATGCACCCGAAACTTTATACCCAGAATTAAACTTCGTTCATCTTAAAGGAGCCACTGGACTCAAACTTTGTCCAGTCACAAAGCATATAAAGCAATCATACTGATTGCTTAAGGACTCTATATGTAATCTGCAGACACCCCCATTCTGTTCTTGGACACCCAAAAAACCAATTCCGACCAAAAAACATCTGTATCTTCCTTAGGGTTGCCAGCTCTGGGTTGGGAAATACCTGGAGGTTGGGGGGGGGGTTTAAGGGGGGAAAAAGTAAGCTTTTTGGGGGGAAGGGACTTCAATGGGGTACAATGCCATAGAGTCCATCTTCCAAACAGAAATATCCTCCAGGCGAATTGATCTCTTGCGCCTGGAGCTCAGGTGTAATCCCAGGAGATCTCCAGCCACCACCTGGAGGCTGGCAAGCCCAATTCTGTCCCAAAAATCTGTCTGTTCCTCAAAATTAAGTTTTCAAGCAATACTTCCAGCCAGGCTCGAAACGGTGCCCCATTTGATTCAAGTTTAGCTCTGCAGGCTTCCCGTCAGTCTGTCCTTAATGAAGCAGAGGCAGTGCACGGGCACAGGGACTTCCGTCCGGCTGGCCAGCTAAAAATAGCAGCGCTCTGTCGGCCAAGGACAACCTGGTTGTCGCTTGGTCTTTGGCATCCGCTCCCGAGCTCGCATGTCACAGCTGCCGGGACAAAGGAGAGCTGCTGCCACCTGAAGAGGAAGGAGTCCCGGCCAGGGAAACCCTCCCAAGGCTCCCCTCCATTTAGCAGCAGCTAAAGAAACCAGCAGAGGGGCTGGTGGACCCCAGCACCACTTCCCTGGCAGGGCTTGCAAAGAGCTTCGGGGTAAACAGGGCTGGCATTCTCCAGGGTAAAGCCAGGCAGCCCAGCTAAACTGCTCTGGGACTGGAGGGTCAGCCCTCAGCGTGGAATGCCATAAAAACATCACCAGAAGAGCCCTGCCGGATCAGACCAGGGGACCATCTCCTCCAGCATCCTGCCCAGGCCTGTAGCTACTGCGGGGTATCTCAGGGCTAGGCCCCCTGAGTTACTGGCAAGGCCCCACAACTTCCCATCCAGCCGAGGGCCCCCAAGTGGTGCGGGGAAGGAGCTGGATAGTCCTTTAATTCGATTAGCTGGTGCCCCCCAAGAAATGTAAATGCCCCCCGACTTGCAAAACCCTGGCCAGGAGCCTGATCCTGCCCCACACATTGCATCCTTAACCACTGTGGAAGGCCAACAACAACAACAACCACAGGAAGGGCCTGCTGCTGCCGACAGGGACCCCCGCTCCTCCCCCCCTTCCGGAGAAACGCAGCGAAGCCAAGGCGGAGCCAGCCGGAGGAGGGGCGGGACACATCCCGAGCTGGCCCGGCATCCAAGCCAAGGGTTTCCCGGGAGAAGACGGCAACCCAGGCAAGGGGCGGCGAGGCCGGGAGAGGGAGAGAGCCCCCCCCCCCGGTTCAAAAAGGCAGGGCGGTCGAGAGGCCCCTTTCCACACACAGCCTCCCCTGCCTGCCTGCCCCCTTTCTCCGCCGGCCCCTTCCACCCTCCTCCGGTGCTGGGCGGAAAGCCAACAGGTGCTGCTTCCTCCGCTGAGCTGCTCCCGCCACCCCAGGACTGAAGGGACCAGGCGCCCGGCCCGGGAAAGTGGCCGCGACCAGTGTTCCCTCTAAGCTGAGTTAGTGTGAGCCAGCTCACCGTTTTTTAGCCTCCAGCTCACAGATTTGTGTCTTCGCTCAGGAAGGGACGGCTCCAGAGCAAATTAATTTATGCAGCAGCCGAATCGCTCGCTGACAACTTTCCTGCCAGCAGCGGCTGACAAAGTAGAATTTTTGCTCGCAAGACTGCACAGCTTAGAGGGAGCATCGGCAGGGACCCTCCCCGTTTGTCCGTAGCCCGGCGGTTCTCGCCTCGGATCGAAAAAGAACCCTGCTTAGCTTCCGAGCTAGCAGCCTGGCCTCTTTCTCTCTCATGCATGCGGGACCGGGTTTCCCAACAGCCTCCGTGGAAATAAAAGGGGAAAGGCGGCTACGGCCCCATCTGCAGCCATGGGGAAGACTGGAGGCGCCGGCAGCCGCCGGCCAGAGCTGGGCAGAC